AGAAGGTGAAGCAAAAAGGTGTAGCTCTCAAATTGGAAGCAAATTTTAGGGATTTGGAGGGAGAAAATAACGTGGCAGCTGTTTAACAATGTAATTAGTGATGTATTCTAATAAAATTGCCTCCTTAATAACCTGAGAAAGCTGAGGTTAGCTGGTTCCTCTGCCAGTGGGAGTGAGCTCACTAAAGGGAGTGAAAACGGGAGTTTAAATTTCAGTGGAGCCTGGAGATTTGAGTCTGACTGTGCCTTCTTCACTTCCTGTCACAGACTTGGCAGCAGCTTGGCTTTCTGGGGATTTGCAGAAGGTGGTACTTGTGTTCAAATGCAGGGCTGATTGCAGGGAGAGGAGTGGGCGTGTGTGAGAGGAGTTGCACAGCAAAGCACAGTGCGTCACTGAGCAGTAAAGGTGGCAAACAGAAAAGAGGAGAGTGGAAAAATGGAGAATTCCATCAGAGTGGCAGTGGTGTCCATCAATCAGGATAAGGAGTCTAAAGACAACAGGGTTGAGCCTGGAAGGTGTCTGGAGGCACTGGCAAAGACCAGAGGGCCCCCAATGAAGAGCTTTGATCCTTGAAAAATATGGCTGTGTCGGCAGGGTAGATGACAAAATTTATTAACTATCCTTACATAGGCAGTTCTATTCACTCGTGGCCCCACATGAAACCATGGGCTCTTCTGGTACCTCACTGAAAGAAGAAAACCATGCAAGATTTTGGCAGCTTGAGCTTTAGCAGAAAAGTGAATTACAGAAGTGCAGGGAGCTCCACTGAAAACTGCTGGAGGTTATTCCATATATTTAGAGCAGATTTATGGGAAGTGTGTGCCTAGAGATTCTCTGTGTCCAGAGAGCAATGTGTTAGCCAGCTGGGCTGCAGTGGTGACCTTCTACATGGTTCTAATTCAGTACCATCTTCCTGAATCATCAGTTTACACAGACCAATCATCTCTTGATCCGTGCAAATACCAATGGTAACTTTCTCTCTGGTCACTTTTCACATAAGTACCTTATGCCCTTATGAGCTTGGTTTATAAGAGGGAAATAATGGAATGACAAATTGCCTAACAGAGCCAAGAGGTGATTACATTTAGTCTATCACAGAGCTTGGTTCGTGCTCTTTTCAGTAAGTGTCAACACAGTATGAGGAATCCCACTAATTTTTTCCTGAATGCCAAGAACCCAAACAGTTCCTGAGCTGTTGGAGTTTCACCTACTCAGCTGTAATCTTCATCTCTCTCTCCTGAGAAAATGTAGTTACAAATATTTACTGTATTCTAAGAACTGAAGGCAAAGTACAAAAAGTTCAGAAACTTTTCCTCTGGAAAGCAGAATAGTGAAAAATATTAACACAACATTTACTAGACAGATATATTCATTTTCTCCAGAATTGAATGCAAATACCTCTGCAACCACTTGAAGACAGCAGGAGATTCTTTGTTACAAGATTCAGTGCCTGTATATTCTTACATTTGGAAGATAGGGTTCTCACCAGATTTAGATCCCATGTGTTGCAGTTTGTGCAGCTTTATTTCTGCTCCTGAGTTACAGAGTTGTTCAGGCTTGTGTGAGAAAGGGGCCAAAATTTCAGCTTCAGAGAAGAGACCTGCTTTTCAGCAATATGTGGAAACTGCGACCTGGCAGTGCATTCAGAGAAATAGGAGAGATGCAACCTGCAACTCAGCAGCTGAATAAGTGTGGAAAACAACTGCTGTGCTGGCTGCTGGTCTGAGGTCACCTGCAAATCCTATTAGACCACATTTCTTTCTTAAACAAAGCATTACCAGAGGTCTTATTCTTCCTTAACAAGACAGCCATGTTGTAACAGCATGACTTGCATACAAATCCACCAATTTTAAAAAAGAAAATATGTTTTAAGCTTAGCTCTATATCTAGCAATACCTCAGATGCTTTATGGTGCCAAGGGTTTCACCAACACCTACGGGAAATCAATCAAAGGCTCTAGCAGAAGGCTGAGGGAGGGGAGATGTGTGTGTAATCTCATTCCCACCTACTGAGAGCCACTGAGAGCAGCAGCACCACCTTCAGCATTTCTCTGGAAAATATTAAGGGCTTGGGATGTGTTTGTGTGACGCCCACTGCCCTCTCCCCCACCACGGGTGAACAAGGCGCCTTGCCTTCTTTAGAGCTTTCCCAGCCTCAGCAGCAGCAAGGCGTTTAAGGGACTTGTTTTTCTTCCCTCATCTTTCCTCTTCAGGAAATCCTGTCCCCTTTTTGACGTGCTGCTCCTGGTGACATCACCAAGTCAGTGACAGTGTGGGGGAGGCAGCCCCAGCCATGTGGAGGTGATGTGCTGATGTGTTCCAGGGCCCTTCTGTCAGTGTTGTGCTGCCTAACCCAGCATCCTGCCCCTGAGCAGTCCCAGAGCTGCTCCCATTCAGGCCAGGCGGGCAGTCCTGTGTCCGTGCTCCCTCTGAGGTCCACGCTGAGCAGGGGGTGCCTGTCCCAGGGATGAGCCCTGAGGAGCACCAGCCATACAGATCCCAGGCCAGCAATGTGGGGAGGGAGGGCAGGACAAGCCCCTGGCACAGGGTTTGTACTCACAGAGGCCATGTTGCCATCCAGGTTCATTAGAGGCACTTGTCGTTCACTATTGAACCTTAGGGTTGAACTCAGATGCTGTATTTTGCCTTGGTAGGGAGTTTCTGTGTTTTAGGAAGCCATGGGTTTTTGATGGCAAGCCTGGATGTGGTGGCTGGTTGCCAATCCAGGCTCTAGATCACTCTAGCAAAGTAAATTTAGGTGGTGTGGAGTCAAAGTGCTGGCCTGCTTCTTCAGCAAGCCATCCCTGTCCTAATCCCCTCAGTGCAACCCTGGCAGTGCTGCTGGGGAAGAGACACCTGAGGAAAGATCCCTTTGCCTTGCATAGCGAGAGATAAGCAGGAGAGAGAGAGAGAAGCAGGTGTCAAATACTCCTGTGTCAGACCAGGAGGGAGTTTTCCCTTTGCCCTTTAGCAAATCACCCCCTTCCACAGCTGTCAGACTGGTGGGCATCAGCATGCAGCAATAGGAACTGACAGAGAGATCCCAAACTTCTGATCTCATTGCTGCACAGACTTCTTAAGAAAGCATAAAAATCAGGACCACACAAGATTTTAACCACTCTCATTATTCAGCTACTGAATGTTTTGTCCTTTACCCCATTAGATGTTTTAATAAGAAAGAAAATTACAAGAAAGAGAAAAGCACCTGATTGTATTTTATTTCAGTCCTGGCTACCACTGAAGTGATGAACCCAGCTCACCAAGCAGGGTAGCACAGGGTGGGATGATTTAGGGAGCTCTGTGCAGACTCAAAATGCTTCCACTGATAATAAGTCTCCAATCCTTCATCACTTCCATGTCTCTTAAAAAAATGAATATGTGTGCTTTAAAAACAGCTGCCCTCTAAAAGGGCAAAGGAATAAACTGAGGAGAGGTGAGGCTAGATTAGCTGCCAGTTGCAAAATTCTTGGATTGTATAAAGGTCTGTACAAATGCAAACACTTTTTGTGATGGGGTGAGGAGATTTGGATTTCTGGAGTTCTTGCCTGAGCCTGAGGAGAGTTGTTGCCCTACTGCATAGTATGGGCTCAAATGGGAGGTGGCCTCAGGTAGCTCTTGATGGACTAAAAATGTCACTTCAAAACACAAACTGTCTTCTCTCTTGGTGAATGACAAAAATCCCTCTATTCACTGAGGACACTGAGGTTCTTGAGGGTACTTCAGATGTGGTAAACTTTCAGCCAGTAGAAATTCCTGTCTTGGAGCAGGGTCAGTCACAGGCTAAAGCTAATGCTTGAAACGAAGCAGCCTTCCTACCAGAGCTTCAAGAAAGGCTCTTTAGGACACAGGCACCTTGAGCCAGGACAACAGGCACCACTGTGAAAGCCCAGACTGGCTGGGGGATCCCAAGGGCTCTGGAAGCAGCCACAGGCAGTGTCTGGCTGTTGTAGGAGCATGAGCGTGTGTCAGTGTGCAAGGGGCAGCAGGGACAGAGCTAAGGGACACAGCTAAACTGTCCCAAGGGCTGCCCTGGCTAATCCTGATCCCCACTCTGCTAATCCTGACTGCACTGATGCTTGCAAAGCTTGCAGGGAGTCACCACAGGGTTTCCTCTGGGAAACATTGTGTGAAAGGTTGAAGTGGTTCGATGTATTCTAAATGAAGCATTTCAAATGCTTATATCAGAGTAATACTTCATCCCCAGCTTTTGCTTGGTTTGTTTTTAAATAAGCAAAACCTTTTTTTTTTTTTTTTAATGCTCCCAGTACTAGTTAGAACAAATATTTTAAACCTGTAATAAATAAATATTTCTCATATTTTTGTATTTTGATACAGTATATAATAAATACTCGTTTTTTAGAACCAAACTATAGTGCAAACAGCTCTGTTTTGGTTTGCCATGCTGCCAGGTCATGGTTGTGCTCTTATATTTAGTCTCTAATCTGCTGCTGAATCTTCAGGTAATAGTAAAGTAACAGACTAGCATAAGTGACAGCATTGCTGATTATTGAACAACAGATGAGTATCAAAAATAAGAGACAAAAATAAGGAGACTTTCCTAGTATCAGCACTTTCAGTCCAAGATGTGATCCCTGAGGGGTTCCTTAGCAGGAAGCTTCCAGGGCTTCCTCTCCTTGTAACAATAAAGTCACCAGAATATATAACTGCAATACCAGAAGTACGATTTCTGGTAGTAAGTCACTCTAATATTACTGCACCTTGCACTGTTTCTCTTTTTTCCCCTCTTTCTCTGCATGTCAAGACTTTACATTCCTGAAAGTTTTTCTCCCTTTCTTCTGAAGGCAATAGCAAGAAGGAGCAGTCACAGCACTCTTTTCTGGAACTTAGGAGGTGTGAAATATTCTCTTTATGGTCTAGTTAAACCTGTTAAAGCCTTTTGCAAAGGTTTTTGATAGGGCTTCATGTAATCACATTAATGATACATTGTTGCTTTCTCTATTTCTTCCTCCTTTTTTTGTTTTTCCCTTTGTCTCATTACAGTTGAAACTATAGAGGAAAAAACAGCAGACTCCTTGCAAGATTTGTACAGAGCCTTGGAGCAGGCCAGCCTGTCTCCTTTAGGAGAACACCGGATTTCCACTAAGCTGGAGTATAAGAAATCTTTTATAAAGAGATGTAGTGATCCAGTAGTCAATGAAAAACTGCACCAGCTGCGAATTCTGAAAAGCACTTTAAAGGTGAGATAAAACAGAGAGGAAGAATCCTGCCCCAGGGTTGGATGGGGCTGTACTGTAATCAGAGATTACTGTGTGCAGCTGGAGTCCAGGCTGAGCCCAGTGTGCAAACAAGGGAGACATGGGGAAGCAGTGCCTGAAAAGCAGAGAAAAACGTGCCTGGGAGAGCAGTCAAAGTGAAGGGATCCGTTTTAATTTCTTTATTTTCTTGTATTTCATCTTAGTCAGCTGCTCCTCCCCAAGCTAGTTTAACAGAAGTTGACACCAAATTATTGGAGGAAACCTTAATCCCTTTTTTGTCCCTGAACGTTTTGATGTACGAAAACACATTCACTCTGTAATTGCCAAAGTCTAAAGGTAAGCAAAGCCAGCCTTCAGAAGGGAACACTATCTCTTGCAACACTCGACTGTTTTCTAATTGACGAGCTTGTCCAGGAGGAAACTGTGTGCTTGCTTTCTGTGTAAACTGATAGGATCATTATATTTAATCAGTAAGATTGATGAAATAAGTAGTGATAATGATAGATTTGAAAATTTTAATGGTAATTTTAAATGTACCAGAGCTCATTTAGCCTCCTTGTCAGCTTCCTTCGTTTGTTACAGCAGTTTCAGTTCTGTCCTGATAGAGACTTCAGCAAACAATATGTTGGATTTCCTCGGGGACCCTGCTAACTATATTAAATTACCACATTTTAAGTCACCACATAATTGTACAGTGCATTTTGTAACAGTTTCATCAAAGAGGGCTTTATCAACATTAATTAATTTAGTATTCTATCACCTAGAGAAGCATTTAAACAATATTATTTTCATGCTGTGGGGCTCCCATCCTGAAAAAGAATCCTACATGTGCTTAACTTTCTATACTGTATCATCTCTTTGAAGGCAACCTGCATTATTATCTTTGTATGTGAGTCTTTGCAGGATTGAAGGGTAGCAAAAAAGGGCAACATTCATGGCTGTCCATGACTTCTACAAGCATGAGAAACTGAAACAAAATCACAGTGCTCTCACACACATCGGGGTGGCAGGAGGTTCACGCTGGAGTTGTGGTTTTGTACCACAATGGGGTCACACCCCACAGCTATGGTTCACATCGGCAGCCTGCTGCCATGCTTAATTGTCTCTTTTGTTAGTAGTTCATACCTGAGATACTTTATACCAATAGTTTCCTGCAAATGAAATTGTTTTCCTTCAGAGAAGTGAAAAAAACAGTGCAGCCCCTTGATCCAGCGGGTGCCTGTTTTTGTGCTTCTCTTCAACTTCTTTCCTTTGGACCAAGCAAACACAATTTTTTTGTTCTCTGTCCATGAGCCGTATTTTCTAAGCCTGTCAGCACTCTTGTTTGGACTGTGGTTGGTGTAAATCATTCTTATGTACATGAGACCAATAATGGCAAATGCAATGGCAGCAAGGAGCAAAGACAGTTAATTGTTATTTCCTACATAGAGAAGCAGTGTAGAGACACAAGCTTGGTTTGCAGTGACATCATGGTACCTTGTGACTGGCTGCATTACAGCCCAGAGCTCCACCTCTGCTGCACTACTGGCAATTGTATCAACCAGCGGCTACTGCTATTACCTGATCAATTAGTCTTCTTTTTATCAGTGCCTTTGATTTCTCCTTCCTGAATGCAGCCAATTGCACTGGCCTGTTGGCACTGATGTTCTGAACTCTCCTTGAATTTTATCCTATGTACTAACATCCAAAGACAGTCTTCCAAACTGCTTCTAGTTCTTGATGTCCTATCTTCTGAGTCATTAATGAAAAACCCCTGTGCTCTCTTTCCTGTGATAACACACAATGATTCTCCTGTCACTGAGTATGAGCAGCCTGGCTGGTAGAGCAGAGGTGTGGGACCAGCCACAATCTGTGAGAAGTAAATTATGGTAGCTCAAGCAGAGATCTGGTGATCAGGAGGTCCCATAGTTTCTTTTCCACAGCTTGTTCTCAGCTTCCCCTCTCTTTCTGGAAAAGAGTATTATAGCAGGTAGTGTTAATTGGCTGTTGTTTGCACAGCAATGAAAGCACTGCTTATGGAAGATGTCTCTGACCCTTCTGATCTGTCCCATCATACACAGCTTGATATTTCCCCTTGCCATGCTGCCCAGAAAGATTTAACATCCTCATGGTATGGCCATGGAAAATGTGAGTTATCCATGAGTGTGAAACCCATCTCCTAGGGAGGTTGGAGGGGAGATTGCTGGTGGCCACACCATTCCTGTGCTGAGGAGCAGTGCTGCAAACCCGTGTGCTAGCTGTGCTTCCAAGGATTATGGCTGTGGCGTCCAGCTTCTGCCACTTGCAAAACCATGAGTGGCTGTGGGTATATCTGAGGCTTACTGTGACCCTCAGCTCCATGAGCCAGTCACCAGCGAGGGGTTTTGGTACAGGAACTTCTCCTGCCTTGATGGGGCATAAGGATGTACCAGCAGCTACCTGGTATTTTCCCTTTTCTGCCTTCTCTTTGCCGCAGTGTCAGTGGTAGAAGAGGTAGCAGCCAGCCAGGCCATGCATGCAGTAGATCTGTAGTGAAGATGAGTTGTCATTCCCATGGGACTCCTTGCAGAAGGCTTTGCAGGGCTCAGGTGCCCCCATGCCAAGCCTGGGGAAGAGGCTGTGTGTGTGTCTGCATCCCACACACCCACAGTATTTCTGGTGCTGATCAGGAGCAAACAGATGGCACTTTGTTGTGTGAAACCCACCCTGAGAAATGCAAGCAGCCAATAGTAAACAGCACAGGGCTTGCTGTATCTGGGGCTGAGCAAGGGGCAGTGGGGGAATAGGGACTCTTACTGAGGGTTCTGGACAAGGTGAGGGAAATCCAAGTCCCTCAGGGGAATGTGTGACACCGTGTGGAAAGGGCTCCTGTTTGTGCGTGCTCCTAGAGCAGAGTCCCTGTGCTTTCAGGGGCTCTGGGGCTTGTACCCCCCATTCTCTCCTTCCACCCACGAGATTGATTTTGCCAGTGACTCATCACTTGCATTAACTCTTTGCTTGTTCCTTTTCTCTCACAGGCCAGGGAAGGAGAAGTAGCCATTATAGATAAAGTTCTGGATAATCCAGCCTTGACGTCTAGAGACTTTCAAGAATGGAAACAAATGTACCTTGATCTCTTCATGAACATCTATGAAAGCAGCCCCCGGAGGGACTCTGTTGATGGCTCGTCTGAGGTTGAAGCACTTATAGCCTCGTTAGCACACACTCACTCTTACATAGAAACACATGTATAAAAGTCTTTCTTTTTGTCCATTTGCCACACTCCAACCCTTTACTTAAGTGCATAAAGTAGTTTTTATATCAACATGTGAGAGCTCTAGTAAATTATATTTTAATGTCACTCAGCTGTGTGAAACCTTCAATGATCAACGATACTTTAATGAGGATTTGTATATTTTATATGCTACCAATGCTCTGCTTGTGTTTACCTTCTGTGAATTAAAAAACATGATCTTTAGCTATTGAAGAAAAGGATTTAAAAGCATTTTTGGAAGACTGTGGCCTTCATGCGGGAAGTTCCACGTGCTAAAGCTTTTGTTATCAAAGGTCAGTTTTACAATGATATTTTATATTATATAATTCCAGTATTGCATTGCATTTCTGGAGTGCAGGTACTATTTTGGTGGTGAGAGAAAACCAATTTTTATATTTCATGAGAAACTCTAGGAGTTTTCTTAAATAACAGGGAGAAAGTTTAATGCAGTGGTTGTGTTTAAGTTTTGTCAAAATAAAAGGGTGAAAATCGGCAGACAAAAAAATTACTAATGTGAATTTAAGTGTCGAAAGGTTAGGTCTTATTTCCTTGTGCTTTTTTAAAGCCTGTTGCTAAGGTTTACCACCAGAGCAACGGGATGCTGGTTTGTATTATAATTAAGACCAAATTGTGTGTTGTCTCTTAATCACATTAGGTTGATTTTTAAAAAAATCAGTCATGGTACTGTTATTGATGATGCTTTTGCACTGAAGGTATCAGTATAATGTGCAGATTTTGCAAAAGAGAAAATGCA